CTTGGCTGTAGGAACAGCACACAGACTCTGGTTCGCCCATTCAAAGAGGGGACTTGGAACAAACATGGAAGCAGAACTCTCCCTCCTGGGACTCCCCCATCTTCCATTAGGCCAAGGATACAAATATATATTCCTATGCTGCCTTTTCACTTGGGAGGCCTGTAAGGTGTGTCAAAATCAGTTCCACACATTACAAAAAGCCACAGACACACCCACCCACTGAGCGCCCCTAAATAGGGCCAGAGAAGGGACAAGGGGTCCTGCAGCCAAGTTATCTGTGACCCCTTCCAAGGTGCAGTGCTTGGCCAGGGCTTTGCCCACTGGCACGGACAAGGGAGGCTGTTTTCCTAGAGTTCTGCTGCCTCCCTGAAAGCCTCTCTCTCTCACACACACACAAGGCCTGGCATCAGTCAGCTTCCCTGTCCCAGTGAGAGAGATGTAGCTGTGGCTGCAAGGAAAACTCCTCTGTGGCCGTGGGTCTCTGGTTCTCGGCTGCTGCTGGCAAACTTGATGCCCAGCTGCAGTTTCTGGGGGCCCTGCCTAGCAGCAGCCACCATTTGCAGCAGCAGCAGCCCTGGCTTTGCTGTAGTGCCACTCTGGGTGCTTTGCGATCACCAACCGCCGCCTCTCGACAAAGCCGCTCCTCCCGAGGGGTGGTGGTTGCTTTTGAAGACTTGCCAGAAGATCAGGCCCCCCACCATCCCCTTCAGGTGACAAAGGGATCAGTGGCCACCATATAAATCTAGAGCTAATCCCCACAATCAATATTTTTCATTAAGAGCCTGCGCAAGTCAGGCCGTTGGAGGAGGAAAATCTGTTTAGCGTGACATCTTGATGAAGTTATTCAGCGCAGGGCATTTAAGTCATTGAACAGTAATCAAGAGTGGCCAGTGGGGAGATTGGAGGTTGCTGGGCGGGGGGGGGGGGTGTTTCACACAAAGAGCTGCCAGCCCCGAGGAGGGATGGCCATGATCCCCACAGAAGCTGACAGATTTCTCTTGGGGACAGAGCCCTCCTGTGCCACACAGAGCCCCCTCCTGCAGTGCTCCGTGTCTCTGGCCTGGCATCCCCTTTTCCCTGCGTGGCTCTTTCTTCATGTTCAGCCCAGCTCAGGACCTTCCTGGATGCTCTTTCTCTCTCTCCCCCCACCCCCTCCGCCCCCTCCGCCCCCTCTGGCCCTCAACATCTTGAACATCAGGAAAGCACCTGGCCAGAATGGTTTGTGAGAAAAGAAGCTTCCTGGCTTTTTTGAAAGCTCTGCTAGTCCAGAGGTTCTGCAATGGCAGGTGTGTTGTTGTTCCTCATGCTAAACTGGGGAAACAAGCTTGTTTGCTGTGTGTGCAGCACACACAGAGTTATGTGTGCAGCAGGTTGTCTTTCTTGGTCAGTTCCTCCTCTGTGTTGAGGGAGAGGGGGGCAGCGCAGGGAGCGCTTCTTCAGAGGGCCACAGGGACGGACCCCTCTTCCTTGCAAGGGAGCTTGGCTGCCTCCCTCCCTCCTCGCCTCTGCTGCAAACTGAGCCACGCCTGGCAGCTCGGGAGAGCCAGCAAACAGCCTCCCTTTCCTCTCTCCCTCCAGACAGCCCTGGCAGAGCCGGCTTCCCCAGAGAGTTGGATGCCCTCGGCCATTAGGACAGATTCCTTTGGGGCAGATAAGCTCCTTCAGGCAACTTTACTTCGCCCATTTCTCCCTGTCGGTGCCAATAGCACGACACCCGCAGACAGACCCACTGATCTTTGCAATTAGAGACTCTGTGCACAGCCCAACAATCATTTTGGAAGAGAGGGTCCCAAAGACCCCTATACAACTGCAGCCTGGCAGGAAGCCAACCGCTTACCCAGCTACCCTAAGAGGGCAGAGCTCAGCATGGCTCAGTTCACCTGAATGAAACTGCCATCCACGGATGACGTGGAAGGGAGGTTCCGCTTGCCTTGGGAAAGCTGCCTTACACCCGCTTGCCTGGCTCTCCCCTCACTTGCTCAGGCAGGGGGCTTGCCTGAGAGCCAGCCAGGGCAGACACTGTCCTCCCTGCCTCCAGCCTCCCATCAGGCAAGAGGAAGGGCAGGGCGGCCCCTCCAGTGGCTTCTGTGGCCCCTGCTGGAGGGCAGGGCTGGCTATTGCTCACTCTCCTCCGCCCGGCCTGCAGCTGAAGCTGATGAATAAAAATCTGCTGCTGCTGGTTTGCATCCCCCCCCTGCCTCCCCTCTTGCCAAGCCTTGCCAGGGGCAGCTGATGGCTGTCGCTGAAGGCAGCTCCATCAATAATGGATGCTTGCAAACCAAGCAAGTGCGAAAATTCTCTCTCCCCCATGAATTATAAATGCAGCTCGGCGCGGTTGGGCTTCATCTCCCTTTCCATTTCTTTGTGTATTAAGGGGGGGGATCATGTTTCCAATTAACACATTCCATCCTTAGGTGACACAAGAGCAGTTCTCCAGTGATGTGCAGATGCCATCTCTACCCCTGCCAACCTGCAGATGAGGGGGGAGCAGAGCCAGCTGCAATGGTGCTGAGCTGGGCACCTGGGTCCCTGGCCTCTCCAAGGGGTCAAGGCATCCAGAGACACGAAGTGAGAGACTGCTTCGCCTTTGTAAATGGCTTTGCCCTAAAGGTAAGCCGTGCGTGTGGTTGTGGTGTCCCCAAACTGTTTTGTAAATGTCCTGCTTTGGGGATGTGGTCACAGCAAGGCAAAGCTAGGGGCAACAGGCTCAGCCCCCAACCAGAAAGGGATGCTCTCCCAGGAGCCCAGGGTGGCAGGCATGCCAGCTCTGCTCCACCTCCTGGCTCTGAGATCAGGGCAGCACCTCCTTCCAGTTTCTCTGGGTCATCCCTTCTCTACCCAGGTGTGCGATGGGACCTAGAGAGACAAACCTAAAGGATGAAGAAAGGATAAACTTGGGGGAGGGCAGGTTATCACTGTCCTCCTACTAACCTAGTTTGGGCATCAGCTGCCTAAAGTCCGTTCTGCATTCCCGTAAGTGGGAACTTCTGCTGTGGAGGTCCTGTTGGCCCTAGAGCTGAGTCGGAAGCAAGCTGCAAAAGCTGAGAGAGCCTCTTGCTCCTGGTCGTCTGGGGGCCCAGGCCACTGCTGCATGTCAGGCGCCAGGGAAAAGGCCAGAGAGCCATTGGGGGTTTCAGATGAAGGCAAGGCAATCCTTGCCTTGTCCAGGACAGCAGATCGTGTGGCTTGACCAGGTGCCCTAAAAACTTCACATCTCAGGCTTGGGTGTCACTGGCATGTACCCAGTAATTGCCCTCCCTTGTAATGAACAGCATTTTCCAAGAATATGGTGCAGATCCACAGGGAACCACAATGGTGGTACATTTCATAATTAGGCCTAAAGAAAAGATGAAAGGATTTTGCAAAATTGCCCATAATTGTCAGTGACTTTTGCTTTTTCCTAAGAAAACACTTCTGAAAACAGCAGGATATGATCGCAGGCGAAGAAAAGGCTTACCCTGAGCTGCTAAGAAGCAGAGGCAGGACTGAAATGGTGGGCCATCCACAGCTTTCCACAGGGAGTTTCCCCAGCTCTGAGTCCCTTTGCGGCAATCCTGAGCCGACTTAATTCTCCACCCAGCAAGAACACCAAAAGTCCAGACAGCCATGGAGGTAAGTAAGGGCTCTTGGGACAATCCTGCCTTGGATCCACATCCAAAACAGGGTCAGAAGTATGCAAGATCCCAGAAATTTTCCTCAATCCTCTGTAGCAGAGGAACAAGCCCCACAGTTGTCCATTCACACTCTTCACTTGGAGCAACAGCTGGATGTGTGGTCATCTGGAGAACTAAGAATGGTCCAGAAAAGGAGCCAGCTGAACATCTGTGCTGTCCCATCCGGTTAGACCTGCCTTCTTCTTCCTTGTTTCCCCAAAAGGATCTCCTGCCTCTGTCCTTTTCTTCCCTTTGCCCTCTGTCCTGCCCTGCCCATCTTCCACGGTGACAGAACCATTTCTTTAATTATTACTGTAATCTTAGTAGTTCATCCACCCCACTCTGAAAGCACAGTGAGTGGCAATCTGTGTTGGCTTCACATCTCCATGATTATTCTAGTTGTGTTCCTAACTCACTACACATCCTGCCCATCAAAAAAGTATGGTCTGACTGGTAAGGTTTGTTTTTGACAAATTCAGGCTACTTTTCGTATGGCACCTGTCCTGGAGGAAGCTCGAGACCTTCCCGGGGCCCTCCAGATGGTGTTCTCCTCCATATTTTCAGTCACTGCATGAGGAGAGAAAGGGGACGCCAGGACCCCAATAAGGTGGACAGCAGAATTCTGGTTCCGGATGCAGGGCCCGGGATGTCTGGATGATGGGCATGTGGCACAAGATGGCTGGCATCTCAGGAAGACTGCAAAACTATGCTTGGCCAGAGCATGGCAAGCAGCATCAGAAGAGCTTTCAACTGGGAGATAAAAGCCCTGGAGGAAATAGAGACTTGCACGCTATAGAAGGAAATGTGGCTGTAATCGAGACTACTAAATCATTCAGTAAAAAGCAGGAGTAACATTGGCTCATAAAGTTTGTGGTTTTCATTGTCTACAAGTTAATGCTCAGAATTAGAATTTCCTGCATTAGAAGCCTGAACTTCTAATGCAGGAAATGAAATATGATTTGATTGATACAATGGAGACCAGTGAAATTACCCCACATTTGAGAATCCCATTTATTCAAAAAATATGGAAACAAGAGGGAGAATCATGTGCTATGATGAACAAAACTACTTCTGTTCAGGAGTCCAAATGATTTGGTTACAAGGGCAGGCATGAATAAAAGCGATGTTGGTAGTGGCGTCTGTGATTCCCCACCTCACCGAGGAGGAGACCTGGAGGAAGGTTCCAAAAAGAAATGACCAAAGGGGCCTGACGTTTATGGAGAGTCTCAGTCATCCAGGTCCTGGTTGCCCCAAAGGTGCTTTTCAAGAGGCAACTGGACTTTCTGGTTTTTCTTTGAAGACGTTTCGCTGAAGAAGCTTCTTGGATGAGAAGTGAAACATCTTCAAACAAAAACCAGAAAGTCCAGTTGCCTCTTGAAAAGCACCTTTGGGAGGCCTGATGTTGTATCTATGCAGGTGTTTGAATTAGGAATTGCCTGACTCTGGAGTACCTCTGGGCTGCTTGCACAAAAATAGGGAACGATAAAAAGAACCTAGGCAGAGTAATGGTGGGAAGACATGAGGCCTTTTCCTCCTGCATGCGCAGAAGTTCTCTCCACCTCTCCTTAAGCCACCATGAAACTTTCTGTCCTCAATTCCCTGGTCCTTTCCTGACTTTATTATCTTCCTTTCAAATCACTCCCAGTTTCTGATCAGGTAATCAGGTGACAAATTCTAACAGAGAATTAACACCTTTGTGCTGCCCTAGGACAAGGTCAGAAGAAGGGGGAAACTTCAAAGTAGCTGCCACTTCATAAAACTTGTCTCTGCCCCTACCTTCCCTCTGGCTTTTGACTTTGATGCCAGCAGAAGCTTCTTCTCTTCTCTTGGAATAGCTGAAAAAGGGGGCCAGAACTAGCAAGGGCTCCTTTAGCTTCGCTGATGGCAGAAGGAAGATCCATGAATCCATACACCAACTGGACCCTGAAAATGACACAGAAAGCATTAACATAGCAAAGAGAAAGGAAAAACCGTTCAATATGTCTTTTGTCTGAATCGTCTCTGGCCAGAGCATATGTGTCCTCCACCAAGAAATGATGAGTAGTAGAATGAAATGGGTGACAGAAGTTCCTGGGTGATGTTTGTGGTGGACTAAAATGTTTCTGGAGAAGCAGAGATGGTATTTATAGCGGCAGCGATTGGCTGCTAGTTGATGAATTCTGGCTGACGGAGCCTCTCAGAATAAGGAGAGGCCAAGAGACTGCCCACCTGCACTCTGGACAGCTGCTCCTCATCAAAGGTTCTTGCTGTCAACTCATGAGTCAAGTAGTGGAGAGACAAGGAAGAGCCGGCATGTTCACAACTGCAGTGCCGCCTTTTAAGGACACTGGAGTTGCTCAAAGCCTCCCTTTCTTAATCACATTTGGATATAATCAATTTACAGTTAAAAAGAGATTATCAGTTCAGCAGGAGAAAGAAAGAAAAATTTGGCGAGTCAGCCTTCATTTCAAATTAAAAAAGAAGAAAGCAAAATAATAATTTCAAGCGCTTTAAATTAACAGCAAAACACTTCATAAGATTCTGATCTAAGAAAGTTAGAAAAGATAAAGGAGGACAATTTAAATTTGAAATATTTATACTTTAGCAAATGTGCTTTTGATACTATTTAGACAAATAGACCAAACTTTTATGGAAATGCTAATTTAACATCACAGGGAAAAGACAATTGGTGGATTTTACCAAACAAAGAGATAAATGTAGTACGAGATAAGACTTTTTGACTGTGTAATCAGAAATATAAAGTTCCAAAGTGGAAAAATTGGTGAAGGGAAGGAGAGGATCATTAGAGCAACTGACAGAAAAGTAATATGGAGGCAGACATCAACAAAGTCTACAGAATTAATGCACAATTTGCAGAATTAGGAAACATTTCCAGGGATTTTGTCAGGAAGAGCATGAGAGACCTGCAAGTTATGCAGCAATATTTTAATATTAGATTAAGAATGCAGATGTGATTGCACTTAAAGAAATTCTGATTGAAATACTGTGATTTTGGAGATGACCAGGCTGAGCCCGGGGGCAGGATCAAATATCATCAGTCTGGAGTCCCCACAGATCTAAGTCCAGCCCCACCCACCCCTGTAGTCCATTGACTCTTGTACCAGTTTGCCTTGACCATTAGTAGATCAGATTCTTGTGTATAGGTTGCATGTATAACTTGCATTGCTGCTGAACTCCATCCTGGCTTCTGGTTTCCCACGCCTGACATGTGTAAAAGAAAAGAGGTTTGGTTTTTTATTTTTTACTGATGAGCTTAAGCAAAAAATGATACCTGTCAGGCCCAAAGATGACTCAGTGAGAGGCAATCAAGTCCAGTTCTTTATTTGCTTTATTAATAGACAGAATCGCGCCAGTCTGAAGCTCTCATCTTCTAACCCAGGGGTCAGCAACCTGCGGCTCCGCAGCCGCATGCAGCTCTTTGGGCCCTCTGCTGTGGCTTTGCTGTGGCTCCCTGTTGGGTGATCCCACCACTGGCTGGCCCTGCCCCTCGCCCTCCTCTCCCAGTCACTCCTCGCCTGGCCTGAGAAGGTAAGGGTGACAGTGGCGGATGGAGAAGCGGCCAGGGAAGAGAGATACAAAGAGAGAAGGAGAGAGGGGGGGAGAGAAGGAGGGAGGGAGGGGAGAGAGAGAGATATGTCAAAAGGATTTTGTGGTTTCCCGGTGTTTTTTAACAACTGGTTCTCTGCCGTAATGACCAGCTGGGTAGGTGTGGCTACCATGTGACTGGTAGAAGTGAGTGACATTGAGTTGGCCACGCCCACCCAGGTTTTGTGGCTTCCGGTGTTTTCTTTTCTGTGGGAAATGGGTCCAAATGGCTCTTTGAGTATTTAAGGTTGCAGACCCCTGTTTTAACCTAATGAATATATCCTGGGAGATTCTAGGTGGTTGAATTTTTTTTCCTCCCCTCCTCTCCCCCTCCAGTTCAGGACCAGGGCAGTCTCTTGTCCTGGGACCCTCTCTGGAAAGTGCTGCCTCCTCCCTGAGAAGCTGTGAGACTATGATTGACATGCGCACATCCACCTCCTCCAGCTGCACATTCCAGCACAATACGATTCCATTAAGATAAATTGGAAGGTGTGTTTTTTACTTTTAAACAGCAGAGCCTTTGACCTAACTCAGTTCCAAACCCAGAGATTTCTTAGGGGGAAAAAAAAATCAAAGAAAAAAATAGAAAAAAATATTCAAGAGACCTAACAAGAAACTGAAAAGGGGGCTTCTACATTAGGCATTACAGGTATTGACTTTTCAAAATTTTTGGCAGAAATATGGATCTTAAATGCTTAACGTGAAATATAAATGAAGCAAATGCTCCCCCCCCAAAAGAAAACATGATTTTGAGCACTTCTGGGTGAGGTTCGTGACAGACTAGATGCCTCCAAAGATGCGGAGATGATCAGCATCCAGATCGCAGTTTCTGGCTGGTGGAGCATCTCCAGATGAGAAGCAACTGAGCAATTGCGGTCTGACCCACGGAGGGCTGCCCCTTGTGTGGAGACCATGAGGCTCAGAGGCTCTTGTGGTCTCCTTATGAGTAGAGCGGCCAGGGGCACAAGGGGGAGCCAGCCTGCTTGCAGTCACTGGTCAGCCTTTTCAAGGTCATTCGGTTCACTCAAAGCCTCGCTTTCTTAAACACTTCTGAATATAACCAATTTACTGTTAAAGAGAGATCATCACGCTAGCAGAATAAATAAAACAACCATTCAGTGAGTCAGCCTTTCTTCTGGATTACAGAAAGAAAAGAGGAAAATAATATTTGAAAGACTTCAACAGTAAAAAAAAAAAAAGCTTAATAGGATGTTGATTTAAGAAAGCCATAAATGGGTAAAGGGGACAGTGTATAAATCTGAAATATTTTGATGCAAGTACTTGCAATATTATTTGGAACTAATTAGACAAACAGTCCTGGCCTTTATGGAAATGCTGTAACGAGGAAACCATTCACAAAGAGAGAAGCTTCAAGCCACTATGTTGTATGGGTGGGAGAAAGTAACACAAGAATTTAAGTTTTGATTCACTATATACAGGGCTCATGCTTACACAACGAATAGAATAAGCTGGAAGGGACCTTGGAGGTCTTCTAGTCCAGCCCCCTGTTCAAGCAGGAGAACCTATACCAGTGAAAAACCTCCAGTGATGTAGCACTCACAATTTCTGGAGGGCAGCTGTTCCACTGGTTAATTGTCCTCACTGTTAGGAAGTTTCTCCTTAATTCCAAGTTGTTTCTCTCTTTTGTTAGTTTCCAACCATTCTTTCTTTCTTTTTTTTTTTTTAATTTGATTTATATGCAGCCCTTCTCCAGAGACTCAGGGCAGCTTACAATGCGTTAAGCCTTCATACTTTTGTATATATTTATACACAGTCAGCTTATTGCCCCCACAATCTGGGTCCTCATTTTACCTACCTTTGAAAGGATGGAAGGCTGAGTCAACCTTCAGCCTGATGAGATTTGAACTTGCAGTAATTGCAGGCAGCTGATGTTAATAACAGTGCTTTAGTCTGCTGCACCACCAGGGCTCTGCCCTCTGGTGCTTTGAAGAATAATTTGCCCCCCTCTTCTTTGGGGCAGCCCTTCAAATACTGGAACACTGCTATCATGTCACCCCACTTCTTCTTTTCTTTAGACTAGCCAAACCCAAACTTGATACATGGCAGTTGATGGAATTCTTTCATTATGACTTCATTTCTTCTAACTTACGTATCAGAGATCTGCATCTATTTGTCTCTGGCTAGGCTGCTTCCAGGGCTACCCTCTGCCGTGAGAAGGCTCGTATCAGGAGAACCAGGGACGTTCCAGACAGCTGAAGGAGGTCAACCATCGTCCCAGGCAGCAGACCCATGGGAAAAAGAACTACCGGTCCACATGACTTCAAGGCCTGGGAAGTTTCTGAAGCAAAACATAAAGAAATCGGCAGGATCATGTTAAGAACAACCGTGCCAAGCTAGCCTTACCACATTGTTTAACTGAGTAACTTCCTTAGTAGATTGTGGGAATGCTAGAGATATGATACATTACATATAAGCAGAGGATTTGGCAAAGCACATAATTAAATGAAGACAAAGTTGGATTGAAAATTATATTTCAAATGTAATCTATCGGTTTAAAGTAGAAGTGTCATAAAGTTCACTTCTGGGATTTACACTTTAAAAAATGTTAATTACTAAGGTAAAGAGGTAGAGGAAATGTTCACCTTATTTGCCAATGATTCCAAATTAGAAGTCACACATATGTAAACACATACATACTCATCACCTCATTCCCGTTTTGGATAAACAACATTATGCAAAGTGCCGGTAAAACATAAGAAGTAGTAAACAAAAAAAAATTAGTGTAACAACACTATTATGCCTCTTCATATGTTTTTATCCTTGCAAACTATCTAATATTTGTTGCAAATAATTTGGGTTTCCAACTAGCAACATAGCATCTTGTGGCAGAAGTTGTACAGACCAGATTTTTGTTCTACAACAGATTATTTAGAAATGTATGAAAGTCAGAAAGAAAGTTGATTATTTGTTTGTTGATTTAGAAAAAAACGTGACAAGGCGTAAATTATGATTTTATATCAGAAATATAAAATCGAGGATTGGTCGCTGAATAGCGTAAGAGCAACGAAGGATGGAACTCAAGCATGCAAGAGAACAAATGGAACCCTAAGCAAATGGTTCAGCAAGGAGCAGGGAGGAAGACATGAATGTGTGATGATTTGGGGATAAACCTATCACAGGATGGAGGAGAGGCTTCCTTGGAGCATGACAATACTCCCAAGAGCCGTTATCCAGATGGCCATGCCTGATGTTAACCAGGAGCACAGCTTGAGCATGTCCCAGCATTCCCAGTTTTGGCTTGGCAACATTAGTGACCAGTGTGGGCCTTGGAGCATAGCAAGATTACCCTGCTCTATGGGTAGGACTTGTGCACAATGCTACCAGAAATTTCAGTGCTTCAGAATACAGCTCACTAGATGTGTGCTTGTTGCATTTAACATTTAAAATACGCCCGTGGCTTCTGGTGCATTTCTGGGCAGGCTTCCAAATGCTGCTTTTGACTTACATGGCTACCTACACAAAGCCTTCCCTTCTTCAGGAAGAACCAGCTCATTCCTTGAGTGGTTGGATACTCCAAGCCCCAGTCCTGGCTCTGGGGAAACCACCTGGCTACGCACAACTGTCAGCCCTTCGCTGCACCTGCATGCATTCCGGAGGGTGGATGCTAGTCAGGGAGGCTGTCTCTGCTAGACAGTGAAGACCTGTGGTGGAGAAACAAGGCATGAATATTTCAGGAACACACACTCACGGGGTCATTTGCAAGCTAGTGAAAAGCAATTTTCCCTGGTTTCTTTGCATTGGATATTTTTCAGTAGTTGGCAGCGCAATTTTAAGCACTTGACTGAACACACTTGAAGGAGTCTTCCAGCATTGTTAGTCTGAGCATGAACCTGAATGCCAGCAAAAAAAAAAAAAAAAAAGATGCTTGCCAATCATAAACACGTAACGGGGAATATCTTGGGCATCTCTCCAGATCTGCCAGGTCAGGAGAAGAAACAACCCATGTAGAGCTATTCATTCATCCCAAACAGCAATGAGTAGCCCTCACTGGGTTGCGTCTTCTCCTGGCTCATCTATAAATGGGCCCTTCCAAGCAGCCGCCACCGCCACCACCCGGGTATAATTGTCCACTTTGGCTTTGCAAGCCCTGAGGGCTGAATGGGCTCCCCCAAGCCCAGCTGTTGGCTGCTGCTGAAGGCCGACCTGAGCCCTTGCCTCCTCAGCAGGATGCCCATTGCCCACCACCTTCCTGCCGTTCAGACCCACTTAGCATTCATCACCCACAAGTTTGTGTTGGGTGCATAAATGATGCTGAGCTGAAGCATCTCATTTCTTTGCCAGCTGATGGCAGAGCAGATTTTGCCATTTTCCTTTCACTATCTTGAGCCGCAGAAGGCCTCAAGGAGATTATGTATTTCGGTCTATTTAATCTGCTGTCATAAAACATGTCAGTATTATGTGGGATATTCACTTTTATAATTTAGGGCATCACTAGTTAAGCAAGTAGGTTTTGAAATGAACAAAAATTTTCAGCCGAGTTCATCCATTAAGTAAAGAGAGAGAGCAAACAAAAGGGCAGTTCTATGGCCCAATTGCATTGGGCTATGCAATAAATTCTACATTATTGACTTCAGCTGCCTACAGAATTTTACAAGAGGGAAGCTAGGAAATATGAACATTTCTGGAAGAACAAAACGGTGGTTGAAAGGAACCCTCCTCTTCACACATCTTTGACCCTCCCTCTCCCCTCCATGCGGCTTCATTGTGCTCCCGTCCCAGGTTCAGCCCAGGACAAACTGGGGCTCACCATGCAGTCCACAAGTCCCGTTCCTGAATGGGGGGCTTGGGGTGGGGTGCCATTACTTCCTAGCTGTACAAGAGGCCCTCGGAGAGCAGAGGAAGGAACCCAGTGGGGCCACCAGAAGTCCTCCTGTAATGCTGCTCTGGCTCTCCGTGTGCAGGAGAGGATGGTGCCCCAAAGCATGGAACGATGTGCCAGCAAAAGTCTTTCTTGTTTTCAGGTGAGAGTCGCCAGTTGCAGAAGCCTCCCAAGGGAAGCCATTGGCTGCCGTGCATGAGAGCTCTCCCATTCGTTCCTGGCAAAGGTGCGGAGGCCGGAATCCAGTCTTTCAAACAGTAGATCACGTTCCTTTGTTTTTCCCATCTCCTGGTCTGCTGCCAGGTTGCCCCCAAGAGCAGCCGGAGCACCTGTGCCAGAAGAGGAGCGAAGGAAAGGAAGGCTGGGCACAAAACGTGCCATCCCCAAGCAAATGAACCATCTCATGCCTTTGTGCAACATTTATCTGGATTCATAAGGCTTCCCAACTCAGGCAATACGATTCTGGTGTTCAGCAGACAAACAAACAATAAAGTGAAAGAACATACACAACAAATAAATGTAAAATAGACAAAAGGAAATGATGACCAAACACAATAATAGAAACCACCACAAAGGAACTCTGCTCCACTGGAGCCCAACACCTGGGGAGAGAGGCGAGTCTTTCTGGGTTCCCTAAAAGTGAGCAGAGTTGGGGCCCCTCTTCTGGAGCACAGAGAGCCACCTCCCCCCCTCCCTCCCATCAAGTAGCAAAGTTTAAAAGAAGATCAACAGCCAGACTGCCATATATGCCAAACCTTTCAGGTTTCTGTGTTTATTTGAAGCATTTACATTTGATAATGTAAATTATTTGACGCATTACAGCCTTGGCTAGATCAGGGCTGTCAAACTCGATTTCATTGAGGGCCACATCAGGGTTGTGTTTGGCTTGAGGGGGGGGGAGGAGCTGGGGGGCATGGCCAGGGGGGCATGGCCAGCTTGATATCACTCATGTCGGGGGCGCCTGTGGTGGCCCGAGTACTCTGTCAGCGAAAATGTGCTCCCGAGCTCCGTTTTTGGCTGTGAAGGCCTCCTGCAACCCTCTGCCAGTGAAAACAGAGTTCTAGCCTGCCCACATCGCTGGCAGAGGCACCATGGACCGGCCCTTTGCTGTTTCCAGGGCGGCCATATGGGCCAGATCTAAGCACCCCATGGGCCGGCTCCGGCTCCCGGGCCTTGAGTTTGACACCCCTGGGCTAGAGTATGGTGTGAATGTCAGTCCACAGCCCCAGTTGTGTATTATCTTCTCTGCACCCAGAAACCTCCAAGCAGAGCAACTAGAGAGGGGAGCTTGGGGCAACTACTTGGATTTGGAGTAGTCACCCTATAATTCTCCCCCCACCCCCCAAATCCAGGAGGCTCAGCATCTCATGGTTTATCTCCATTTTGCCTTGAGATAAAAGCCACCTCTTCCCCTCCCCCCCTCAGGTTAGTGCCATCTCACAGTTAGTGCCAGCTTCTCACCTTTATCAGTCTCTTTACATCAGGAATATTATTTGTTTGTGGGCCAAGCTGTTTCTGTATTTTTATTTGTTTATTGAATGTATATAGCTGTCCATTTCATTTCTGGGCAATTCACATTCCCCTCAAATTAAAAAAAAAACCCACAAAATTTAACAACAAGAATCACTAATCAATAAAAACTATTAAAACATAAAAATCATAATCTGCAGGAAAGTATCATTCATTTTCTGAAAGTCCAACCATTTTGCAGGCTCTGCACCAATGTCACCAGATCCCCAAACCAGATCCCCAAGTCACATCTTAAGGTCTTTTGGGAGGCCATCAAGGTTGGGACCAATCTGACTTCAGTGGGGGATGATCTTTCAAAGGATCACAGCAGAAAAGGCTCTATTCCTGAATCCCATTTGATAATGGTGAGCTTCCATATTTTTTTTAATAAAAAGAGGTGGGAGAGAAAATTTGTGTAACTAGTAAGAATTCAAAAGGAATCAATCTCCTCTTTGGTTTCAATCATTAATTGTAGTAATAATTAAAAATAGATTTAAAAAAAATAAAAGAATGGCTCTCAGTAAGTTTACCCATGCCTAATACCCTTAATTATCTATAAAAATTTAAATGGTTACTGGGCAAAATCTAGCAACACTATATGTGATAAAAATTGTTTATTAAATTGATTTATATAGCTGCCCATCTCGTTACATGACTCTGGACAGTTTGCAACATGGCAACAAATAAAAATATAAACAAATACAAAAGAAAACAAAAAAGAAAACACTAGGCACCCAGGAAACAGCCTCCATCGCACTACTGAGGCCCAAATTTTCCAAGATCTTTATGAAGAAATTGGAGCCGGGGAGGAAATTGTCCAGCATGGAGGGGACAGACCACCACCCATCCTCCAGAGATTGGGGGGGGGGTGTCTCTTATCTGTCAAGGAAGAATGAGCCTGGGATCACCTCTGCTCTTCACTATGGGGAAATGAGAGGGCTTGGGGATCCTACAATCCAGGCTCTGTAACATCCCAGCAGACGCAGCCTGTGCAGATGGAGGAAAACCTCCTTGCCTTGCTCAGCCTCCCATGGGGAAAGGAGTCCCCACGAGCTACTTCCCTTCCTGCGTCTCCCATTTTTCCTGCTACTCACGGATGGCAGGAGAGGGGGCAATGGCAGCCACGAGAGAGCCCTGTTAAAAGGCAGATGGCCAGGCGAACCAATAGCCAGAGGACAGGGGGCATATTTCAGGGTGCCTGCTTGTGCAGGAATCTCTGTGCTCCATGAGGCCAACAGAACAGGGCAGATCAGTCCATATGCTTTCCTGGCAATGCAGAGAGACCAGACGGGAAGGCTTGGGCCACAGAAGTGGGAAAAGGCATTTTGTTCCCCCTTTGGCCTTCACAGTGGGCCAAAGATCAGGATAACAGCAACATTTTTGGTCCTCAGCAGTTCCTGGGTCATCTTTGCACAGACAGGCGGGTCCGAATGTCAATCATCTGCTGGAAACGGAGCTTTGCCGAAGGTTGAAGAAAGCAGGGGGGCATCCAAGGTTTGTGTGAAGCACCGAAAACAATAAAAAGGGTATTTTCTGGAATGTCGGAAACCCAAGGACAGGCCCAGAGACTGCAGGGCCCTTGTGAGGAAAAGGGGAGCCTTGGGAAAGTGAGACCTGCTGGCCTGTTTTTTTAAATCTGCTTTCTCTCAGAGGGACCATGAAACCCCCAGCCAGCCTTTGTTCTGCTGCGGGGGTCTGCAGTACAGGAGAGACATGGGAAAGCAAACCTAATTTTAAGGGAGTGAAATCTCCCAAGTGTGTGTGTGTGTGTGTGTGTGTGTGTGTGTGTGTGTGTGTGTGTATACACTTCATCATTCACTCAAGCACTCATAGACACGCACAACACTCTTCAACACTTGCTACTCAGTACCTTTCTCAATGTCCTCACTGGAGCCTCTGGGGTTGAAGGGACCCTTTTCCCCTCTAAGGGCTCCTTCCATTCAAGGAGGTTGCCAGGCAGAGGCTAATGGCTCTCCTGCCTGGCATGCTTGAGTTGGATTCCTGTCATGAAACCCCACCCCAACTCACAGTCCGCCCCCCAACTCTAGGGTTCTCCGACCTCTCCTGGGGCCCTGCTGGGCTCGATGGCATTTTTCTCTACCTTAAGAGAGAGCTCTATTTTTGAATAGTTTCAAAATGCTCTTGAAAGATGTCATTCTTCCAAGTGCTGCTTCCCACTTACTCTTTTACCAGTCCCTTGAATTATTTTGGAAATGTGGTAAAATGTGAGATTTTCGGCACCTGCAGTATTGGGAGAACTTCCTGTCTTCTCTCTCTTCCCTAGCTGACCCCAAATATTCTCCTTGTGGTGAGAGGGGCAGGGTGTTAACTGTGTACCGCAGTACATGGATGCCCCCATATTGTCACTAGAGACTGTGGGTCCCTCTCCCTTGGGGGGGAGACATTGGAGGGGACAAGACCCACTCCAAGCCAGGCAGAAAGACAGAAAGATTTGCTCAGGAAAATTTCAGCCTATGCAGCAGTAGGAAAGGAACCCGAGGAAGAGTCTGAAGAAGACACAGCAAGGTGTGGTTCAGACAACAACAGGGTCTCCGCAGCCGTGGATGCTCCCAGGTGAGCTGGATCAGGGAAGAGACAGGCCTGAGCAGGGACAGGAGATGTGCCAATGGTCCTCACCATGTTGCACAGAGATGTTGAGTGTACATGGCCAGTCCCAGGTCCTTGTCAAAGTTCCCATTAATGTTTGGGGAAAAGAAATGGAGAGATTGTCTTTCAGATCTGCTGAAGACATAAAATTGGGTGGGACAACAAGAAAGCAGAAATGATTCAAAATGGCCAATTGGAGAAATTGGCTAAGGAAATCAGTGAAGACAAGGGCAAAGGTTAGGATCTTCCTCCTCCATCATCCCTGGCCGTCAATAGATATTTGGGAGGTTTGAGGACAGATTTCTTCACATTCCTGACTCTTTCCTCCCTCCCCCAATGCTTCACTGCCCTGCCTTCTTCCCCCTCCCATCTTGCCTTCAGAGCAGGTGGCATTTCCAGAAGGTCTTCTGGCCTGGGCACTGCCCAGGGACCACACCAGGGACAGGAGCCCCCGGCAACCATCCCCGGGGCCCAGCAGGAGTTGGACTGGCTCCCTCTACCTTCTGGCCCAGTTCAGCAGCCCTGCATTACCAAAGCAGGCATTCTCCCATTTCCTCCCAGTTCCAAGCGCGGTGGGTGTGCTCTTCCCCAGCAGCCCTCCTCTTCTTCTTCTTCTTCTTCTTCTTCTTCTTCTTCTTCTTCTTCTTCTTCTTCTTCTTCTTCTTCTTCTTCTTCTTCTTTTCTTCTTCTTCTTCTTCTTCTTCTTCTTCTTCTTCTTCTTCTTCTTCTTCTTCTTCCTCTTCTTCTTCTTCTTCTTTTTTTTTTTTTGGACGTGATTTATATGCCGCCCTTCTCTGGAGACTCAGGGCGGCTTACAATGCGTTAAGCAATAGCCTTCTTACTTTTGTATATTTATACAAAGTCAGCTTATTGCCCCCACAAACCGGGCCCTCATTTTACCTACCTTAGAAAGGATGGAAGGCTGAGTCAACCTTGAGCCTGGCAAAGATTTGAACTTGCAGTAATTGCAGCTCTTTATTTTCCTACTGGTGTCACGGAGTACAAGTGGGTGTCACATGGGCCGGAGGGGCAGCAAGAGCCCTTCCCAGGGTGGGGACAAGCCACTGGCCAGCCACCTGCTCAGGCTGCCAGGCAGCAGCTGGAGTTGGGGATTAGGAACCAAATTAATTATCAAGGTTGGGTGTTTCTGCCAGACCTCCGCAGAGGGCATCTGAGGACAATGTCTGGGGGGGCAGATCCCCCCCCCCATATTGCTGGTACACCCCTCCCCCATCTACCTGCCCCACAACTGCTCCTCAGCCATGGCCAGCCCTGCAAAGATCCCCCCCCAGCTCTGGCGCTCACTCACTTGCCATCCATTGCAGAATGGCCCCTTCTTCCTCTTCCGTCCCACCTACCTGAGCCCAGGAAAGGGCTCCGTTCTGACCCACCAGAGCCTGCAGGATTCAGGCAAAGCTTCCGAAGACACAACCTCTCCTGGCCCTGCTTGAAGTTTCAGAGCTTTGGTTTAATTTCCCCCTTTTGCAGATGAACCGCTTGCCTTTTGAAATGCTTGGGATCTGTTTTCAGTCTCCTCATCCTGAAGGCCAGGCAAGGAGAAGGGAGGCAGGCTGGTCATCTGCAAGGCCAGGTCACATCCCTCCGCCCATCTCCCTTCCTTTCAGAACCCTAAAACTTTCTCAAGCCCCAACCCACATTACCTCTGGGAGGGAGGGAGGAGGGACACGCCCCCACCCCAGAGCAGCCTTCCCTTTGCACCACTGCACCACCTGCTGAGATTTTTGGCTGCCCCCAAGCCTCCCCTCCTCTGGATTTGCCATTTGCCCTCCCTTTACGCAGAGATTTACTAGATGTGGCAGCCAGTAAATTCAAAGTGCCCGTGAGCCCCTCCTGGGGATATCCAGTTTCTGCATCACATTAGCTTTTTAATTTGTTTTTTCAAAGATTAGTTTATTTAGAAAACGAACCACAAAGGAAACTGGCAGGCTGGGAGGCTGCACCCCTGCTTTCCCCTCCAAGGAGCAACCAGAAAATCCCTTCAATCCAGTGCTTGGATTGAAAAACTGATCATTCCCTAGAAAAAGGTGAAAGGGAATAACCTCTGGGGGGAGGCGGAGCTAAGGAGATAGTTTCTTTCCATATTGGGGGGGAGGGGGGCTAGGAGTGGCTGCCTCTCTTCTCCATCCCACCCCACCCCACCCATCAGATCCCACTCCCTCTCTCAAAGCTGCACAAGGCTAAAGGTTCCAAGCCGGGTCGCTAATGAGTGAACCTATTAAACTCTGCCCAGTGTAGTGATGCAATTAAAACTTTGCCCCAATTAAATCCAGGTAATTAACAGGACTGACATTTACGGAGAGGTGTCAGCGCAGCAGAGGCAGGAATGAGCCCAGCCCTGGGCAGCCAGCAGGAAGGGGGTTTGCAGCAGGCTCCGCCCATCCTGAGAGGATTAATCCCAAACCCTTTCAGTAATCAACTGGTAGGATTAAAACTCTTCCTTCCCTCCTGCTGCCCCACCCAGCCATAAGCCCCCCCCCCCCCGCCCCCCACTCCTTCCCTGTCTGGGCTCTGCTTGTGCCGGGGAGGCTGCTCAGAACTGAGCTTCCAAGGGTCCCATTGCACAACCAGGACAGATGGAGGCTGGAGGCCCCCTTCTCCAAGGAAGGAGGGAGGAAAACTCGCCCACCCACTTTGCTGCCAGGAGTCCCCCGCCCTTTCTGCGCCCTGGCAAGATATTCCTCCTCAAATGGGCACAGCGACCCTCCGGCTGGATCCTTCGGGGCAGAGAAGAGTCCCTCCGCCTGGGGTCAGCCGGACTCCCCGCAGGAGTTTCCGTCGCTTGGGGGAAAGGCCACCTTTGGGAGCCCCTCCCTGGGGCCCTGGGCCTCCGAAGGCTGCCGGATTAAAGTGGGTGGGGCTGCCTCAGGGACCCCGGCCGCGCTCAGTGCAGAGGGGAGCTGGCGAACCCCTCGCCCGGCCGCCGCTGCTCTGCCCAGTCCTGCTCCGCTGCCCCCGGAGCAGCCAGCTTTCGCCCTCCCGCCCCGGGACTTGGGCGCCAGTGCTGGGCAGCGTCCCCTCGCCCGTAGTCCGGGCCGGAAGCGGAGCCGTCGGAGGCGCTCCACAGCCCGCCGGTCTTCGCGACTCGAGACCCAGCGGCGCAGGGACGAAAGAGCCGGGAGGGCGGCGGCACGGGCACCTCGCGCGGCCACCTCCGACCCGGGGCTCCCCCGAGCAGCGGCCGGTCCCGCAGGCAGCGCCAGGAGGAGCGGGTCGCCCCCGCAGCCTCCCAGCTGGCAGCCCTCGGGCGGGCGGGCAGCACCGCCCCGCGGGAACCCGCGCTCGGCCCCCGCGGCCACTCGGGGCGGGGGCTCAGCCTGCCAGCAGCGGCGGAGGCGGCTCCGGCTCGGCTGACGTCAGGCGGCCCCTTAAAGAGGCGCCGCAGCGGGAGCGGGGTCGGTAGTGGCGGGCCGCCGAGCTCGTCGGCCCCGCGCGCCCCGACCCCGCGCTGCTGCCGGCCGGGGAGCCGTGGCCGCCGCCGGCGATGGGAGCCATGGCGCTCGGCCGGCGGAGGCGGCGGCTGCGGCGGTGCCGGGCGCTGCTGCTGGGCGCGTTGCTCTCGCTCTCGGGCACCTGCCTCTGCTACAGCCTGCTGCTCCTCTGCTGCGGCCCCGCCAGCCGCCCCCCGCCGCCGCCCGCTGCCCGCCCGCCCTGCCCGCCGCCCGCAAGAAACTTCTGCAGAAGTGGCGCGCCTGCCCCGCCGCCGCCGCGCCGCCCGCCCCCTCGGCCCGGCCCGCGGGCGACGGGGGCGGCGGGGGCAGCCGGGCCAAGGCGGCCGTGGCCAAGCGGCTCCCGCACGCGCTGATCGTGGGCGTCAAGAAGGGCGGCACCCGCGCCGTGCTGGAGTTCATCCGCGGCCACCCGGGCGTGCGCGCCCTCGGCACCGAGCCCCACTTCTTCGACCGGCACTACGAGCGGGGCCTGGAGTGGTACAGGTGAGGCGGCTCAGCGGAGCTCGGGAAGCGGCCGTCGCGGGGACCGGGCGGGCGGAGAGCCGCCCAGCAGCCCCTTCCCGTCGCGCCGGGCCGCCCGTCCGCGGCGTCGGGGCCGGAGCGCCGGAACCTCGCAGCGCTGCTCCGCGTCTCGGGCTCCACCGCCGCCCGCCAGCTCGCTCGGCTGCCTGCCCGGCGCCCGCCGTGCGCTTTCCCAGGCGCCCCGCAGACCCTCCGCCTGCTCCGCGCGCGGGCGAGGCGGCGGGCGAGGGAAGCGACGCTCCTGCTGCCCGTCCGCCCCCCGTTTGCCGGCCGAAAGGCTCCGCTGGCGGGTGGGGAGCCCCTGCAGGGGTTGGCGGTTCCTTGCCCAACGGAGCCGCAGCAGAAGTCGCCAAGAGAGGCGCCGCGGGGCAAGGGAGCCGAAGGGCCGGCGGGTCCTGGACCGGCTTCCCGATTGCGACTTTCCCGGGAATCCTCATCTAAGCAGACGGGGAGAATCTGCTGTTCCGGCTGGTGCCACTCCGGCCTCCACTCAGCCCCCCTCCCCCCCCCCGCACAAAGCCCACTACCTTCTTCCCACCCGAACCCCCCGAGTTGCCCGCGGAACCCGCCTTCCTCCAGGGTAGGAGGGAGATTCCCAGCCCGGACGGCCCAGGCCTGGCAGTTGGCCAAGGGGGTCCCCAATCCCGGCCGTGGATCCTGCCCACAGCAGGGGTCAGCCGGCCAACCAGTTCGAGCTTGGCTGCCTCACTCCGAGCGCTTCCACGCCTGCATTAGATCCTCTGTCAACCCCTCAGAGGGCGCCAAGGCGATCCGTGCAGCCTTCGCTTCTCTTGGCTCAAAATGCCGAGAAGGCGGCTTAAAGCTGCGGTTCTGACGGCACCGAGATCCTCTCCGCCTCCGTTTGGCACAAAAGGGAAGGCACTCCAGCTGGTCTGATCTTGAAGCGGAAACTCGGCAGAGCCTTTCCTCTGCTAGAGCAGGGGGGTGGACTAGTTGATCTCTAACGTTCTTGTGGTTCTGACCGTAAGCGAAGATTTCCCTTCAGGGGTCTTGGGAGCCAAATGGAGGCATGAGGTGAGGGGTTGGGCCACCAGCCTTGCTCTGGAAGGGGCTCAGTAGAATGAGGGGCATTTTATTCCAAGGGTCCCAGCTGATGGGCTTTGTAGTGGGAAGCAGGCGCAGGAGCCAACCTTGAAAACATCTTCTGTGGAGGTTCCTGTGGACTTCTAGAGTGGCTCCTTCAAAAGGTGCAGAGCCAGTAAACCTGGGATGGACCTGCCGGCTGCTGCTAAAGTTCCCCACTCAACCATTCCATTTGACTAATGTTTCTTTTAAATGAAACCCTTCACTAGTCTAATCATGTTTAGCCCATTGCTCTTTCCAGAGGGCCAGGGTCTCCGGTGGGACTTGTACAGCAGCAGCCATGGGCTTTTGCCTTGGAACATGGAGCAAACTGTGGAATGACGGGGGCTCTGGGCGTCTCCAGCCCCTGCCCGGCTGAGGCCTGAGCCATCGTAGGGAGAATCTCCTTCACCCCTGGTGAGGGGTCTTTCCGCTCAGAAACTTCATGCATCAGGGCAGGAGGCAAAGCTGCTTCAAAGCCCATAAGCCACATTGCTTCTTGCACTTGAGCATTCGTTGCCCACATCCTTCCCCCCATCCCCCATGGGGGGGGGGCGGCTTCATCTTGCCTCCAATCGGAGAATGAAAGAACCTTCCACGTTGCTCATTGTGGCCCAAGCCAACCACAGTTGTCAGGCATGTAAATTTGTGGTCATCTGTTATCTTGGAGGCAAAGTGCACCCCACCCCAGTCACTAAGAAGTACAAGGCCCCTCCCCTCTGAAAGCAACATTAGCTGCCTTCCATCAGTCACTGGTCTCCTGGCATTGGCGCTGAGCATTAGCACTCGGTTCTCTAACCAGGCAGAGCAGGAGGGCAGAGGGCTCGATTTGATTTGGAAAAGGAGAGGCCACATTTTTGTGCTGTTAACATTCTGAAATGAGCCTTTACTTTAGATTAGCCTTTTCCCCCCTGATTGCCTCATTCAGAACATAAGGAGCTGGTTAGACTTTCTGGAGTGTCTTTGCCACTTTCCCTGCATTGTCAGTTTCAAGCTCTCCCAACTGCTTCCCCACCAGGCTGGAGCAGGACCAGAATCAGGGCTCCCTGGCCTGCAAGTGGGAGCATTTCCCTACTGGTTGCAAAGGGGGTGCTGCAAAGCTGGAAGAGGAAGTTCCCACGGCAGACTCCCCGGCCAACAGCACTGGGAAGAGAGGCAGTGCAGGGGGTCCTGGGCCCTCAGAGGCCAGTCTTTGGACCTAGAGGACCATTTCCCTATTGTGGTTTCCTAACAGCTAGGAGTAAGGATTTTGTTCCTCCAAACAAGAGGGGGCTGAAATGGCCCAGCACTTTGAAGCCCAGGTGGAATCTGTGTTAGCTCTCAAATTCCGGAATAGCATTTTAATGGTGGCTGCTGCCTGCAGGATCTGGTGGATCTCTGTGACCCAGACCAGTGCAGAGGAATCCTAGGAGCCATCCAATCCAAGACCCCAACTTGATGCAGAATCATCTGCATCAGAAACATCTCTGACTCATATTCAGCCTCTCTTTGAAGTCTTCTGCCAGAGAAGTCTCCGGGTCACAAAGTTCCCCTGGCTGACAGCTGGTACAATCAGGAGGTTCTTTCCCTCTCCCTCGGCAGAACCAACCTGATCCCCTTTCTTGACAGAGTGACCGTCCTGGTTGGAACAGTGTGCCTTGATTTCAGCTCACGAAGTCTTGCATGAAATTCTAGCAGATTTTAAGTCAAAGTCTGGTTTGCACTCTAGTTGGTAGATCACAAGCCGCACATGTGCCAAATGCCAGTTCTAGGTGGCAGCCAGCAAATAATGTCAGGATCATGAGAGCATTGTTACTCTATTCTGAGTTGAACAAACCACAGTAGAAAGTTGTGTCCACATTTTAGGAAGGATATTAGCAAACTGGGTCATATCCAAAGAGAAAACAAGATGGTCAGAAGCCAGAAGGAAAATTTTATGCAGAACTTTTTAAAGGTCTGGGTATGTTTAGCCTGGAGAAGAGAAGAGAAGAGAATACTGGGGAGATACACGGCAGCCGTCTTCAAGCATCTGAGAGGGTGTCACGAAGATGATGGGCAAACTTTTTCAGGGAAGGTCGAGAGGACAGGACAGCTTGCAATAAGCAGATTCTGGTTGGGGATCAGAAAAGTTTTCTTCGTGGTTAGAGCTATTCAACAGTGGAACAGTCTTCCTTGGGAGACGGCAAAGTTTCATTTGATGGAGATATTTAAAGACAAGCTAGATGGTCATCATGGGATGGAAGGTTTACTGGTCAAGGAATCCAATTAGAAGACCCGAGATTCCCTGATTGTGTTTTGAAAGATGCTGGACAGAGTTTGATTCATAATGAACCATCTCTGCTTTAATGTTCTTTATTTTACTTTTGCGAGTTATGATTTTATTGTTGTTTAGTTTTTATGGCTACTATGGATTTTTAAAATTGTTTTCCATTTATGTGTTAACTACTATGCCATTGATCGAGGCAGAATACAAATAACATAGTGAAATAGTTATGCAGAATTGTCTCTTTTGGGAGGGAAGCAGCTCCACTCTTTGGAGAGCAAAGAGGCAAAAGGTCTTTCTCATAGAATCTCTTTGGTGGCTTCCAAGGGGAGCCCAAGGTGGAGGTGGAGAAATTCCTCCTGTCATGTCACTTCTCCCCTTTGTTCCTCACCTCTTTGGGCCTTTCCTTCGCAGGCACCTGATGCCCCGCACCCTGGACAGCCAGATCACCATGGAGAAGACCCCCAGCTACTACATCACCCGGGAAGCTCCCCAGCGGATCTTCAACATGTCACGGAACACAAAGCTGATTGTGGTGGTGAGGAATCCGGTCACCAGAGCCATCTCGGACTACACCCAGACCCTCTCCAAAAGGCCGGACATCCCCACCTTCGAGGGGCTCTCCTTCCGCAACCGCAGCCTCGGCCTGGTGGACACTTCCTGGAGTGCCATCCGCATTGGCCTCTACGCGCTGCACCTGGAAAGCTGGCTCCAGTACTTCCCGCTCTCCCAGATCCACTTCGTCAGCGGGGAGAGGCTCATCACGGACCCCGCGGAGGAGATGGCCAAAGTGCAGGACTTCCTGGGCCTGAAACGGCTCATCACCGAGAAACACTTCTTCTTCAACAAGACCAAGGGCTTCCCTTGCTTGAAGAAGGCCGGGGGAGGCACACTGCCCCGCTGCCTGGGGAAATCCAAAGGCAGACCTCACGTCCAGATTGACCCAGATGTTCTGGAGCAGCTGCAGGACTTCTACCGCCCCTACAACATCCGCTTCTACGAGGCCGTGGGGCGAGACTTCCGGTGGGAATGAGAGTGGGGGGCAGGCTGGGGGAGCCGTTTCAGCTCTACCTTCGTTCTGGCCATGGGGAACCAGCCCAGCAGGCCAAAGTCCAGCCCTCGAGCCGGGGCCATTGCAGCACACGGCCATCCTGCCGGGGTTGGTGAGGCCTTCAGGAACTTTTCAATGGTGCAAGCAGGGTATGTGAGGCCCAAGGATGGATTTTATTTTTCATAATGGTATAGAAACAGAGTTTATAAAGATCCCTACGTAAGCGCTAAGGGCACCTGCTCCCTCACTCTGCGGTCCTTCCGTGAAACCTCAGAGATGCCCCCTTGTATGAGGTCCCCCCCTCACCCCCCAGCTGTTTTCCCCCCCATGAATAAAGCACAGATTTCTGCTATTACGGGTACTTGAGGCCCAGCCCTTGGCTTGTCCCGGAGTCTCTCTTGGTGGCCTCTTGTCTCCTCTTCCTTCCTGTGAAATAAGTCCCAGCCAACCCAAAGGAAGCCTGGCAGAGCCCCAGCAGGTCCCTTTGCTGGGAGAAGGGGGCAGGGGTTTGATGGGGGGGCTGCTTTAATTCCTCCTACAGGTACAGGTACGGGGGAGGGCATGTATTTTAGCCTTAGCTGAGAAATTGTTTTTCTCAGTCCTCGAGGAGGGCTGTGTGTGGCCCAACCAGTTGCTGGAGCACCTTCTCCAGTTGCCAAGTGTGCCAAATTCTGCCACCACCTACCAGGGCCAGGAGTGCTGAGCTGTGTCTCCAATCCTTCTGTGCATCTGCTGCCCTCAGCAGCATTGCGCCCTCCATCTCGGAAGGGCTGTGGCTTCTCGTTGGCACCCAGTAGCTGGCAGCTCCTTCCCAAAGCAGAAGGTCCCTGGCAGCCCCTCGCTTGTTCTGCTCCTTCTCCTTTGCTTGCCTCAGCAGCCGGAGACAGACCAAGGCGTTCAAGGGGTTTCCAGACTGGCAATCAGGACCCCTCTGCCAGGGGAGAGCAGCAGCCTCAGCTCCCACCAGCCAAGAGCCAGGGATTCTCTCCCTCGAAAGCGCTCCTGTCTCTGGGGCCCTTCTGGGGCCTCCGTTTCTCCCACAGCTTTACAGAGTTCACCCTGTTACAGACTGGGAGAGCCTCCTGTAGGCTGCAGACTCCCCAGCTGGCCAGGTCCTGTCTCAGCCACAGATCTACCTGCCAGGAGGTGGGCCTCTGACCATCTTCCTGTCCGGCATGGGGGGACTGCTTACAAGCCTCCCCCCTCAGCTCAGTGGTGCCTGCCTCCTCCGCCCTCCCTCGGGGCACCTACTGCCCACCTCAACTGCCTAGGCTGCCCACCATGCGGCTCTAGAGCCCCTCAACCAGTGATGAAATCCAATTTTTTTTACTACCGGTTCTGTGGGCATGGCTTGGTGGGCGTGGCAGGGGAAGGATACTCAAAATCCCCATTCCCTCCCCGGTCCTGGGGAAAGGATATTGCAAAATCTCCATTCCCATCCCACTCGCGGGCCAGCCAGAGGTAGTATTTGCCAGTTCTCTGAACTGCTCAAAATTTCCGCTACCGGTTCTCCAGAACCTGCTGGATTTCACCCCTGCCCTCAACCTCCTTGGCTTCAGCCATTCAACTGTCTCCATGCCTTCCTCCAGCTCCATTGGTTTCTGCTCCATTGGTTAGATGCAAAGAAGGAAGAGCAGAGCCTAAGGCAGTCCTTTGGCAGTCCAGAGGGGCTTCCGGGGGAGCAGCCCCAATTCTCTCAATCAGGCCTGAGACTTGGCAAAACCTTTGCTTTAGGAAGATGAGCAGGTTTGGCCACCCCTCCCAACCTCAGGGAGCATCTTTTAGCTCTGAGGAAGAAGTACGTCGGCTGGGCTGCCCTTCCCAGTGTAGCCCAGGGAGAGGAGGAGCCCCCACGGCTGGGCAGGAGGGCACCCTGACCTCAGTGGCTGTCCTGCTGCAAAAGATTCCGAATCCATCTTTTCTGGCCAGTCCCTCCTCTTGTAGAGTTTCAAGAGCCCCTTTTTCAATCTTGCCTTTCCTTCTGATTGGCTACAATCATGTCTTGATCACAGCAGATAAAATAACCAGCTATTATATTTTGCCAGGTTAGTGGATCCCTGTGACACGGTAAGCTCTGAAAGTCAAGCACCGATGCTTAATCCTTCGGTTCCTGTTTTCCATTTATAATGGCCAAAGGTTGGGTTGGTGGCCTGTGGTGCCGTTGCCTTCTCTACCCCAGAAATAGACCTGAGGAGCCTTTATAGCACATTTCAAAGCATGGCTGTATGGCGATGTGGCATCCATAGGGCAGTGCTTTCCTGTTGCATGCTGGGCATCTGTTGGCTTGAGAGACCTTGGGGCATCCCCTCCGTGGAATGAATGTCTGCCCCAGAAGGGAATCATCCCTGTATCCAAAGCATCTACCTAGAGAAGACGGGTAAGATTTTACCTCCCCTTGGGGCAGCTTTTTCCTGCAGACGTGCTAACTGCCCTTATTCAGAATTATTTCCCTATTTCTAACTTAAAAACAGAATAATTCCCTGGAGCCAGGCATCATTTGATAAGGTTGATAACGAGCTCTGCTTCCTAGAGTTTGCTTACCACTTTTTTCAAATGCCTCAAATCTTCCCTGCCCCCATTGGTGCTACCGATTGTGAAGTCAAGCTAAGCTTCACCTCGTTGCCCCCATCGCGTAAGGCCTGTCCTGTCTGATCCCCTGGAAAGTGGCAAAATGCCATGTAAACCAAAGGGCACCAGGGCAAAGTGGGAAAGGACTTGGCAGATCAGCTTTCTCTGATACCTTCCTTCCCAATAATACTGGCTAATGGCCTTTGGTCAAACCTAAGATTGTTAAGCTTGTTAAGCTTCTACTTAATTTGTCTGGGAGGCTTTTGGTCCTTGCCACAGAGGGTAACTATCAGGTTCAGCAATGAGGCTGCTTTTTTCTTTTAAGATCAGCTATAAAACATGATTTTCCCGCTTGGCTTGAATGTGAAAAAATTGGAAGTCTCTTTTTTAATAATTTTATTAAGTTTATCAAAATATAAAATACAAGAGAAAATGAAAATAGCTGGGAAATGGGGGAAGAAAAAGGGAAGAGAAAGAAGTGGGGGTGGAAGGGGTGGAAAGAACGTTCACTTCTCTCTCTTTTTAGTGCAGGAGAGGAGGATAGCAACATTACAGCCTCAACTTTTTGCTTTTACATATTAATATATACTAGCCATTTCTATAATAACAAACCTACCTAATCAGCAAAATCCAAAGTTTCATTTTTTTTCCATCGTGAGCACAAAATTCAGAAGCCGTTTCCAAGCAGAAGCAAAGTTGGGTGTGTTCTTTTCTCTGATTAAAGCTGTCAGTTTAGCCACCTCTGCTGGTTCCATCAGACTGTTGGGAGCTTCTTCAAGGATGAGCATCTAACTTTGGCCTTTATGACCCTGTTCCAGAGTTTCTGGGGGCCACTTTGATTATACTCATTGATTATTCCTGAGCATTATTCCTTTCCCCCTTTTTAGAGAATTCTGTGCATCTGCGGAAAAACGGACGAAACGTCGTCTATTTTTCCATCTTGTGGGGATGTTTTTTGAAATGCACCTTATTTTGTAGAATTTCCCATCCCTCCTGCTAGGGTTGGGGGAGGGGTCATTAAAAGGAGGCAGATAAAAACTCCTCAAAGGCTAAGAAATCATTAGGGACCTGCTTTCCTTCATGGGTGGATAAGCTTCCATCTGAGCAGACATCTGTGAGCGTTCCTTCCTGGCAGCCCCTTTTCTCTCTTTCTCTTTCAAATTTTAGAAACCGCTTTCTTGGTAACCTATCTAAAACTTCTGCTTGTGCCTCCAAAGCATCCTGCAGGTGGGTGAGGCTGGTCTCTTTATGCAGGAGCTGGGAGTGCACCAGCTCTGCTGCTGCCCATGTTTGCCCGGCTTTCCTCTTGCTTAGAAAAATCCTCCTGCCTGTCGGAGCAGGCCAGCCCATTTGCCCAGCGGCCCTGCTGTTGACTTGTGCCAGCCACAAAGCAAGACATGTTGCTTGGTGCACAGCCAGAGAGAATTTATGGCCGAGTTTAATGGTCCATTTTATGGGAACCAGCAGCCCTAATTGAATGTCAAGTGCTGCGTGGAATGGCCATCGGAGAAAGCAGCCGCATCTCGGCTCTCCTGCAACGGGGCTTCATTGCTCAGATTGCTTTGTGGTTTTAACAGGCCCCCCCTCCTCTCCGTGTCTTGTGTAAGGTCCTCAGGTTGGTGCGCCCAATTAAACTAATTGGCTAGAGGCAGGGAGAAGCTGCGGACTCTGATCAATGTTTTGAAGCATCCGCGGAATGAAAAATGCACACTAGCATTGGACACTTCTGGCCACTGAGGCTGAGAGGAGAAGCTCCTCTTGGGTTCCTCCTGCTGGTTTTCTTCACTCCTACAAACACACGCACACACACAGTGTCCAGGATTTTCCCCAACGTCTGTTGATTTAACATTTTGTGGCATCTTTTCCAAACATGTTAAAGGAAAACCAAATCCTGCTTTCTGATCAGAGTAGATTGCTGAGGAAGTGACAGAGAATCTCCCAGGGAAGAAGTTTGAGGAACTGAAGTGCCTTCTTGGCCAACCAATCTGGGGAGAAGAAGGGATCTCCTGAGGTCCCAGCTGAATGTGATCTGTCCAGAAAGGCAACCAGCCCTTTCCACTAGGCCTGGGAGAGCAAAGCAGGAAGAGAGGCAGGCAGGCAGGCTCTGTGCTCCAGAGGAACCGGAGCAGAGCAGCTCCAGGCTGGGAGCTGAGCGCTGCAGGGGGATTTCTTCCCAATGGAAGGCCACACTTTGCATCCCCCGGAGGGCCTTGGCATGGAGCCCAGTCGGGCAGCTGGAAGGTGCAGCTGTGGCCGTGGGAGACCCCAGAGGCTTCCTTTGAATGTGCTTATGGCAAAGGAGCTTCATTGGGAAAAGTCAAGTATTAGCAGGCCTGCACAGATTGCTCTCTGCTGGGCTCCTGGCCTGACAGTTGGATGGAGGGAAAAGCAGAGTTGTAGGCCCAGAGTTGTAGCTGCCTTGGGGAAGGAGGGAGGGTGTGTGTGCGTGCGTGTGTGCGCGTGCATGCGTATGAGCATGTACAGATGCATGTGCATGTACATGTACATGCTGAGCCCCATGTAGCTGACAAATAAGAAGGCAAGTCAGACTCAATGCAAGAATCATTAATCTCGGGTAAAAACAGAATCTTGAAAATGGTACAAATAAATTCCCCTTTGGCATATAGTGGATTAATGAAGGTGGAATGTCTTCCTTGCCATGTCTCCCTCCTCTGAATCAGGTGGACCCTTTTCTCAGAAACCCCACCCCTCTGGCTCTCTTCCTTCAGCACATGTGTTTGATGGAGTTGCCTCCAGCCTCCCTTTCGGTTCCGTCCCAGGGCAGCCACTAGCCTGATTCTGGAGGTGGTGTTGAAGCCATCTTGTGCCAATTCTGAGTCCCTGCAATGGGCCGTATTCCAAAGAAGTCCAACCTATCCTGGAAAGTAGCCCTGCCTCAACTGAAGTGCAACCCAACGTCTGGCAC